TATCTACCTGTACAGTACCTGACAGACCAGGACAACTGACCACAAGCATGACACATTCCCCAATCTGCTGCCTGCCATTCGTGCCAGGGCCTCACACGCTCCTCACCTGCACAGCTCCTCAGCCAGGGTGCAGGGCACCACCCTGCAGTAGCAAAGCCTCCAGGCAAGCCTTGGATCCCACTTTCAGAGCTGCTCCGTGGATAGACAATAAATCAGGTCCTGAGGGCGTCTCGAGGTGCTTCTTAAAGCTGATTTTCCCCTGTTCCGTGGTTCCCTTCCATAGACTATATCTGAGTCAGGTGAACAAGAGTGTATCCCCAAGTTCTTAAGGTATATAAACACCACTGCTACCAGCAAGGCAACTTTTCCTCCTATTTGTTTCCAATCTACCTGGGTCTTCACTTTCTCTTGGTTTCCTGTCCTAGAGCAAAACACATTTTGTTACCGCCCATGTGAAACCTACCGGCCACCCTGCAGTTTGCACGGCTGTGCCACTGCAAAACACCTCACGTTTACATCACCTCCCCTTCCCCCAGCACACTTGAATCTTCACGGGAGCGTCGGATGAGGTCCCAGGCCTGCAGAGGGCCCTGCTCGCAAACACAACCCAGCAAAGGCGCTGCTGCTTCAGGTCACATCAGCGCTCCGAAAGGCTGCAACTTCTACCTGGAGCAAATTCAAATGCTCCACGCGTATTATTACTGTCATACCTAGAGAGAAAGGGAGCAGAGGCTGATGCTGCACAAAAGAATATGTTTTTAAAGCGCATACTGTGTGTTCATACTCACGCTGAGATGTCAGGCAAGGCTTCCCATTTTGTATGGCAGAGGAATGCCTCTAGCCTCCAAGAGCTGAAGTACAGCAATTCAGTGACATAAGAAAAGAAAACACTACCTCAAAAGATATTTGATATTTCAATATGCAACCATGCATGTCACTTTGTCTTGGAAGAATAAGGAGAGACGTGCTTTTCTATCCATAACATGCAGACCATAGGCAAACCTTGTAACACACTCTTCAATGTTAAAGCCAAGTTTCCAGTGAGTCCCTTTACTACTCCAGCCAGTGGAATGTTTTTCTGAAGTTCCCAGTTCAGGGATAGGGAGATAATTGCTTTAAATATCAGAGACACTGACCTTACTGATAGGAATTTCACTGCTAGACTTTCTGATGGGATTTCAACCTGTAATTTCTAAGAAAGGATCCTGATCTAGTCTGTTGAGCCTGCTGTTATACATACAGAGAGGTAAGTGCAGGTTTACCAAAAAACCTACCAACATGGTGAAAATCTATGGCCTTCTTACCCACCTACCTCATTTTAAGTGATGCAAAAATCCCAGCTATGTGCAATGTATGCATGCAGAACAGAGCAGCCAAAAAGGGACGAAAGATACCTGCCCACCTTGTATCCCACTTCTGTGCTGCCTCCATTGCTTGGCATGCTCCAAAAGGACACACAGGAATGTACACAAGGAGTGGGACAGCTTACAGGACAGTAAAAGAAAGTACTTTGTGTCTACACTCCACTGAGAAACTGCTGAGCTGTTGCTGCTTTAAATACCAAACCCATAGTTAAGCTGAAACAAAGTTTTACTCTGCATTCAGCCCACTCTCCTAAGTGTGCCTCAACTTCTACTGTAGTAGTAATGCAGCCAAATGTGCTGAAAAAGAGCAGAAAGAATTTGCCTTCAATCTAAAGGGGTGACAGCGGTGGTGTCTTTTTGGTATTCCTCTATGTAAAATACCATCTTTGTCAATCCATTACAATCTACCTTTTTCATTTCTGTCTCATATTTCTCTTACAAACCATCGAGATTCTTTTTGTCTTCACAATCTCTCTATAAAGTCCAGCTCCTCAGCTCTTTGCAACACAAGGAAGCCAGAGAGGGATTAGAAACTAATAACATGTTGGTAATCACAATCATGTCTTTTAATCACTGAAGCACACCCTCAGATTTCAAGTGGAGACCAAGTAATGCAAGGCCAGTACTCGAGCTCCTGACATAACACTTTGCACAGAAATATAATTCAGGTTATAAAAGTCAATGCACATTACTGGCATGAGTGTCCTCTAAATAGTAGTGGCTGTTTGCAGTCTTTCTATGAATGCAAATTTTCTCCCCCTAAGAAGAAGAAAAGGAGGGGAAGACTCAGTACAATGGATGAGAAAGGTAGTACCAAATCTAACAGCCTTTTTTCAAAAGAGTATTTTACAGTGACTTAAATCCTCTCTGTGATAGCTTTGCAGGACTGTCACATTTGTCTAGGTAAGCTGCCTAGTCCAAAGTAACAGAGTAAAGCAAAGATTTTAGAAAATTTCCTTTTTTTTTTTTAACCCACAGCTTTAAGACTAATTCAACCAGCAAGTTTCCTGCAAATGCAACGTTTCAAAAAGACCACTTGGTTTTTAATACATGTTAACATATCATACTAAATCCACATGACCAGTTCTCACTGAAGCCCAGGGTTCCTGTTTTCAGGGAGAGGTTCAGGCTAAGAAGACAATGTGATGTGAGTAAGAGTTTGCTCACTAGCCCTGACTGACTCATCACATTGTAGAAGCTGAAACTACAACAGAAGTTGATGGCATAAAAGTTAAGCAACTTCTACTTACGTGGCACACAAGAAAAGAAACCCCACTAATAATATCTGTCCTTGCTTGAACATAGAGTTGGGAAAGGGCAGCAGATACAAACCCAAAACCCTCATCGAGTGCATTTATTTTTCAGAGCAGGTGCTGAAGCCAAACTGCTGGAAACATTCACCTTCCACAAGCTTGCTGAAGCCTGGAGTTGATGCCCATTGGGCTGGCTCTGCCAGCACCCACAGCGATTCATTCCAGTTTCTGGGAGGTAAACACAGGCTGGCTTTAGCCCATGGGATCTCATGGCCAGCAGTGCCCAAGCCCCCATCCTCCCTGGGGATGTGCCCTGCTTCCCTCCCGCAAGCAACAGGACTGAGCAGCCAGAACTCAAGGCAAAAGTTAAGAAGTCCACGATGCAATTGAGGCTGGTGCCAACAAGGAGGAAACACTCACAAGGACAGAAAAGGACTGGCCAAGTCAAGGACAAAGCTGCCACAAAAATGAATGGGGGTTATCTTGTCTCTGTTTCAGCACGGGCAGGCTGTAAAATCCAGCAGATCTCCCCGCACGAGTGTGAGGGATCTCACACCCACTCACACTTTCTCACCTTAAATGCTTGTGATTAATAATGCCAGGCAGTGACACAAAGCAATTTGTTTATTCAGATCAACCTTTTAATCCCATCTCACCTTCAAAATAAATTATCAAATAAACTCTTCCATGAACTATGCTCTACATCATGAGGTGGTCACAGGACAAACACTTCTCACCAGAGAAAAGAGAAAAAAAACAAAACCAAAAGCTTTTTTTGGAACTTGTTTTGGTTTCACCAATTTGTTTCTTCCCAAAATGTTAGCATTCTGCACAGTTTTAATCTGACACAAAAAATCAGAATGCAGCAAACAGCAGATTCTTCACTCAGTCACACATCAGTTCAACGATCATAAAGCAATACCAAGAATTTAACAAGGGACTTGCTTCTACAAAATCCTGATAAAAACATTCCTGGAAAACAGTCATTTAAAAAATGTTTTAGTTGGTTTTGATATGTCATACCAGCCTGTTTTATCGGGGTAACTGGATTTAAAAATAATTAAACAAAAAAAATCTGACACAGCACTTTGCAGCAGATCATCTCAGTGCACACAAGATTGCAGAAACTAAGCCTCAAAACATCCATGTAAGCCAAGGACTTTACAAGCAGGGAAACTTGCATCGATAGGCTAAGTCACATGTCAAGATCATACAGGAACTCAATCTTGACTCTTCTGATGATCCTATCACATCACAATATTTTGTAGGGAATGAGTTACTATGACTATAATTACTGTTCAGGTTTCATATTAGTGTTATCCTGCTGACAAG